TTTCAACAATCTCGTTGAAACTGTCAGAGGATAATTCTCGATAATAGTGGTGTTAAGTTATGTATCCAATCAGGTAAAAATTCATTGTATTTTTTCGCAAATTTATATTAATATTTTGTAAAGTTGTTCACGTTCCGTCGTAATAGCAGTTTTCAGGACTTTTGTTGGTTTTCAGGACTGTCCCGAAAATATTTCTATGTCCAACGGCAGTTTGCAGGACGTCCCGAGAACTACCATTGGACATAAAATAGAGCTGTCCTGAAATCTACCTTTTAATATATAATATATTCATATGCCGTTTGTATTATATGTTCGGGATTGGACTTAGATTAACGGGAATTAAAGTCGGAAGGGCCCAGCTGATCGCCGCGATCACGCGCCGCTCGAGAATTCTCGCGCTCGCATTCCTTAGCTCGCCGAACCGAGCGTCGCGGGCGCGTGTCGGAGCTCGAGCGACTCGCGAAGCCACGCGCTCCGAAACATTGACGCGTTCAGCTGATCGGAGCATGGGCGATCACCGAATATCAGCGTGAAAAAACAGAAGTTCGGTCGCCATGCTGCGTGAATTGTCGCGTCGTCCATCGTGAGCTGCGAGAATAGTTCCCAAGACAGTCAGTCGTTGTCCGCTCTTTCACAGCAACGATTCGTGCCGTTCGCCGCTCGCGATCTTACCCCGTCGCAATTTCGCCGACGGGTCTCTGTCGCGTCCGCTGTGGCCACACAGGGCAACCCGCAGTGCTCGTTTAAGTTTAGTGCGTTTCGTGCTTTTTTTGTGTTTCTTGCGTATCGCTGCGAACGGAGTCCGAGAGTGGACGAGTTCGCGACCGTTCGCTGCCTCGCGTCAAGATCTCCCTCGAACGTGATTCAAGATCTCCGGACTCGCGAGGGTGTCGCGCTCGACACTCTTCAAGATCTCCGCCCCGCGCAAAAGGCAGTGCAGTCTCGGACGGGCAAGATATCCGACCCCGCGTATAATTTCGGCTCGTCACTCGCTCCGTTCAGTAACTTAGGATTATTAAACTTTTTTTTCTTCAATGGTAACCTCGGGAGTTTTCTTTTTTTTGTTGTCCACCCTTTCCTTCAGCGACTGCTCTGAGTTGCACTCCACTCGCTTCGCGCTCATCACTGAGCGGTATTCGGCGCTCAGGGGCGATCTAAGCTAGATCGAACCCGAACATTTTGGTCCTTCGAGCCGGATCGGAGCGTGTGTGAAGGAAACGGTTCGCACAGTCAACGCAGAGAACCCTCGGTGGCGTTCAACATGTCCGAGCGAATGGCTAAGCAACGGCTGTTGCAACGCTCGATCGAACGCGCCATGGACAACTTTAAAAAAATTGGAAGGAACAATCTGACTCCCGCAAAGATTCGCACCCGGATCGCATCGCTTAAAGAAGCTTGGGCGCAATATCAGGAAGGTCACGCCACTCTGACGCAGGTGACGCCTGCTGCCACGCAGGCCACCTTGGACTACTTCACCCAGGGTCAATTCGAGAGCACCGAGGACGTTTTCACTACAACGTGGGAGTACATGGCGGAGCTGTTGGAGGAGATGGAGCCGATCGTGAGTCCGAACCCGAGCACCTCCGCATCGCGGTTCCCGTCGGAAGCGTCCGCGTTCTCTCTATCGCATCTTCCGCCCATTAAATTACCTCCGTTTGATGGCAATTATGACGAGTGGGAACAATTTCGCGATCGGTTCACGGCGCTTATTCGCCAAAACAAGGATCTCACGAACTTCGCGCGTATGCATTTCTTGTCATCCTGTCTCAAGGGGCGCGCCGCGGAATGTATCGCGAGCCTCTCCGTTACCGCAAACAATTTCGAAATCGCTTGGCACGCATTGACCTCGCGCTATGAAAATAAGCGACGCTCGCTAAACGTTCATCTTTCAACATTGGTTAATTTAACGGCTATAACGCGCGAATCAGCTTCCGAGTTGCAAACCTTGCGAGATAAAGTCAATCATGCGGTAGCGGCGCTCAAAAACCTTAATCGAAAGTCGGAGGAACTTTGGAACGACACTCTCGTTCACCTCATCGTTCAAAAATTAGATCCGATCACGCGGAAAGCGTGGAACGTCAAAGTCGGCGATACCGACGATCCCCCATCGTACGACGACCTGAAGAGCTTTCTAACATCTCGCGCTCGCGCATTGGAAGATTTTGCGATAGCCTCATCCTCGAAAGCCGCTGTCACGTCCAAAGTTCACACCGCAACTGCATCCGCGCATGCACCGAACAAATGTCCGCTGTGCAAATCTCAACATTTTTTAAATTTGTGCCCTAAGTTTGTGAGCAAGAGTGCGAGTCAACGTCGGGAAATTGTTAAGCAGCATCAACGATGCTTCAATTGTTTGAGCGCGAAACATGCCGTCCAGGCGTGCCGCAGTAAATATTCTTGTCGCGTGTGCGACAAGAAGCATCATTCTATGCTGCATTCCGACTCGGACTCTTGCCCTAGCTCCTCCGACGCGGCCGCGCTTAATTGCTCGTCGCCTCAAATTGCAGATTCGAAACCGGAAGTCAATTCGCTCCTCGTTTCGACAGCGACGAAAAAGCTCTCTCCGATCTTGCTCGCGACAGCCTGGGTCACCGTGCGCGTCGCGTCCGATCGCACCGCGGTCGTTCGAGCGCTCCTCGACCAGGGATCAGAAATGACGCTCATTTCACAAACCCTGGCGCAAACCTTGCGCGCAAAACGCCTTAAGATGCCGATATCCGTATCCGCCGTGGGTGGTATCAACGCTGGTACGTTCCAGCACGTAACAAATATTTTCATCTCGTCGCGGAAATCTCTCGTTCCGTCATTCGCTACAACCGCGCTTATTCTCAAATCGCTGACTTCATATACTCCGAAACGCAATGCGGACATTTCGTCGCTGTCGTACCTCTCGGACTTGCCATTGGCCGACGCGGATCCGACGAGTCCCGACCCTATTAGTATCATTATCGGGGCCGATCTGTACAGCGACATCATCCTGGATGGTGTTCGCAAGGGCGGGCTCGGGTACCCTCTCGCCCAAAACTCTGTTCTCGGGTGGGTCATATCGGGGCCCACCCATTCATCCGCACCAAATGACCGCTCTACGGCGACAACATCTTCTTCGCATTGCTCGTTCAATTCCATTTCCGTTCATCACGTTGTCGGCTCTCCTTCTCTTGACGTCGAACTTCGCCGCTTCTGGGAAGTCGGAGAACTGCCGCGCCAATCTCTTCTCTCGCCTCAGGAAAAACAGTGCGAAGAGCATTTCTGCTCGACTCACTCGCGCGATCCCAATGGACGGTACGTCGTGCGTCTTCCTTTCAAGGAAACGCCTCCTCTCAATATCGGTAGCTCAAGATTTCGCGCCGAGAAGTTGTTGCATACGCTCACGCGTCGCTTTCACGACAAGCCGGAAGTCGCGAAGGAGTATCATGATTTTCTATCACAATACGAGCTTTTGGGGCACATGAGGCCAGCTCCGCTACCTCAAAATCAATCCGAACAACTCGTATACCTTCCTCACCACGGGGTAATCCGGGAGGATAGCTCTACAACGCATCTCCGCGTTGTATTCAACGCTTCGAGCGTTACTTCCAACGGCACATCGTTGAACGACCATTTACATGCCGGTCCGAAATTACAAACAGATATTACCTCCATCATATTACAATGGCGACGATATAAATACGC